TGCCCGATCTGGTCTAACTCCCTCTCACTAGGCCACTCCCTGAGCCTTTATCACTCCAAGGTGCTGCCCCGCCCTCTTAACAGGCTAAAAGGGAGAATCTGCTCGGGGCCCAGAGGGCCAGCCACCCTGTGACAGGGCATTTTGTTGTAGCCACAACCTGGCTTGGAGCCCTTAGACCATCCATTGTGACACTGGACTGTGTGTATGTGGAACAGTCACAATCTCATCAGGGAGCTGCTGGGCTGGGAGTTATGAACTGTCCTAGGGTTTTAATGGACTTGAGGCCCCGTTGGGTGGATCCTCTGCTCTGCCAGCTCTCTGGGGCCAGGGAAGCTGGAACAATGTGAATCGTGGGGGTGCTGAGAGCCATTGAGCCAAACTGTAAACCCTGGATATGATGGAAATCACTTCCATGGGAGTCATGGACCAGAAATAATGGTTGTTGCCGGCCTCCCACCCGAGAACCACCAAAACTACGTGTCAAGCTCTGGCCAGCTGGCTGCACACTGAGATGACGGGCTCCTGGGCTGTACTGGACCTGGATGAGCGCAGTGGCTGGTGCTGGAAGCTGTATGCGAATGTGGGGTTTGAACCCTGAATTGACCTACATGAATTGGTAAGTGACGTCCAGTCTGCAAACAAGGAATGAGTCGGTGGCAAGGAAATACAGCCCACAGGCACTGTGGGAAGGCACTGGAGGACGAGCAGCTCTCGAATCGCGCTAGCTTGTGTCCGCACTGCAGAACATGTGGGTTAGTAGCTGATGAGTTATGCTCGCTTGGGCTTTCACCTGTACCACGGGTCGTGGCACCAATATGAGTAATGAACACCGCCACGCTCGAGGAGGGGGTTTTGTGTGTCTCCACACCCCCCAGGAGAGGAGGGGCTCCGCGCCAAAGAGGCTGTGTTCTCTTTTACCTCTGTGAGACCCAATGCAAAGCAGGGGCAGGCTCAGAGAAGGGTCCCAACCCCTACCCCCTATCTGGCAGGACAGCTCGGCTCTCCACATCAGCCCTGGAACAGTCCCGTCAAATTTAGCAGCCCCGTCACAGCCGTGAGCAGCGTGGAAGAGTCTGTGCGGGGCTGACACGGGACGGCGAGAGGCTGAGGAGCAACATGAGCTGTCAGGACAATGTGATGAGTCTGCAGCACAGACAAACGGCTTATGACGGTGCCCCACAGGCATGCCCGCTCAGCCTCCAGAGCTGCCCATGTTCTCACGCAACCAGACGCCCGGTGAAGTCAGGGGGAGTTTTGCTTATGCAAAATCGAAGTCAGGGCTGCAGGATCTGGCCTTCAAATAAAGCAGCGGCAGTGGTTCTGCCAGCCAGGCTTTCTGGGACCTGCCCCACTCAGTGCTCCATACACTCACCTTCATCCCAATTCCCGGGGCCGCTCCCAGCTGCTGATTTCACAGAGAAGCTGTTTCACTTCCACAGCAAGAAGGACCCACGCAGAGAAATCAGCTTCACCCTGCCCTTCTCTAGGGCCTTTTAGCCAAACATCTCAAAGCACTTTCCAAACATGAACGATGGGGGGGAGGGGCTAACCACCCCCTGGGGGGATTATAATGCCCATCTGAGAATAGGGATAATTCTGTCAGCTGTTATTAACTTGGATAGGATTCAAACTAGTAGCCTAGAGGTGAAAGGCTCTGTAGTCTAGTTCCTCCTCACACCACTGCTCTAATGGGGTGTCACCACTAGGAAAAAGGGTGGCAGTGGGGGGGGGGGTTTGTCACATGATCGCTGACACTTAGTGATTAATGTGGTAAAAGCACAGGGTGGCCAAGGAAGCTTGCAGTGTTCGCACACGTTAGTGTGGGGCAGGTGGGGTTTATTTCGACCCACTGAAACTACAGCCCAACTTAGAATAATAGAATATCAGGGTTGGAAGGGACCTCAGGAGGTCATCTAGTCCAACCCCCTGCTCAAAGCAGGACCGATCCCCAATTAAATCATCCCAGCCAGGGCTTTGTCAAGCCTGACCTTAAAAACTTCTAAGGAAGGAGATTCCACCACCTCCCTAGGTAACGCATTCCAGTGTTTCACCACCCTCCTAGTGAAAAAGTTTTTCCTAATATCCAACCTAAATCTCCCCCACTGCAACTTGAGACCATTAATCCTTGTTCTGTCATCTGCTACCACTGAGAACAGTCTAGAGCCATCCTCTTTGGAACCCCCTTTCAGGTAGTTGAAAGCAGCTATCAAATCCCCCCTCATTCTTCTCTTCCGCAGACTAAACATCCCCAGTTCCCTCAGCCTCTCCTCATAAGTCATGTGTTCCAGTCCCCTAATCATTTTTGTTGCCCTCTGCTGGACTCTTTCCAATTTTTCCACATCCTTCTTGTAGTGTGGGGCCCAAAACTGGACACAGTACTCCAGATGAGGCCTCACCAATGTCGAATAGAGGGGAACGATCACGTCCCTCAATCTGCTGGCAATGCCCCTACGTATACATCCCAAAATGCCATTGGCCTTCTTGGCAACAAGGGCACACTGCTGACTCATATCCAGCTTCTCGTCCACTGTCACCCCTCGGTCCTTGTCCACATTAGAATTTGACCGCATTAGTTACTATGACTCAGCTACCATGTCTCTTTGGGGGAAGAGTTAAGGTTGGGTGGATCCGGACAACAGGCCTCAGCCCCGAGCTGAGGAGGAATTTGGGTCTCGATGGCCCCTTCAGTTCCTGGCCTTTCTGCTGAGATAGGAGGTGACCTTAGTGAAAAGCACCCCCACAGTGACCTCCCACCTCTGATCTGGCAAAGCCTCCCACACACCCATGTCACCTGATTCCTTCTCAGCTGCCTCTCAGCTCCCAATCCCCCCAGCCTCCCAGTGACAAGCACCCCCAACCCCTGCCTGAGTTCTGACAATCACACACATCACCTGAGACTGGTGTGCCATGCAAGCCTTCCTGTAGTCCCCGAGTGATAAATGCACCTGACCTGACCTCAGCACCAGGGACAAGTGCCCCCTAAGCCAACCCTTCTACCCAGATGTCAAAACCCTCCATCCCCTGCCCTGGGGCAACATTAAGAAGCATGCTTTTGGTTTTTCTGTTATGGCTCGGGCCACCTTGTGCAAGCAAGGAGAGTGGGCCTGTGCGTGCATGCGTGTGTCACCAAGATGCTCAGCTGGTGTAACATTCCATGAAACAGTGCCCAGTGAAATTCCAGAACCTTCCGCCAAAGGGCAGCTGGCTCGGGCTGTTCTCTGACTCTCTGCTGACATCTCGCGTCCAGCGGGAAACGCTGCACGCATGATTGAGAGATCAGGGTTGTTCCTTGGGTACAGCCACTGCAGTTTGTTTCCTGGGGTGGGGGCAATGTTCGAGGGTGAGCAGAAAGGCCTTCTTGGGGTAAGAGTGCCAGGGTGCTCTGGCCAAAGCTGGCTTTGCGTGCTGATCAGAATATAGAAGGCAGGACCGTATTTGCTTCCAGTAACACAAGTCCCCACTGTGGGAGATAAAGAGACAGCATTAACTTAAAACAAAAATCCTCCTTTGGTCTGAAAATCCTTTACCTCCTATAGTTCCAAACAACTCCCCTAAGACTGCAATGGCTGAAAGGGGCTGAAGAGAAACCTCTGCGTTTTCGGTTGGATTACTGTGCACCAACTGGCCGCACTTTGTGTAGAGCCCTTGTCACTGAGTTCCCCAGGAGACACTGACAGTCAGTTCCCCCCTGCTGTTTGTGTGCCTCTCCAACAGCAAAGGGTGGAGGGGAGAATTAGCCGTAGGAAAATAAAAGACAATAATGCCTAAATCTGCTCTAGCGCTTTGCATCAGGCGATAGCAAAGTGCTTTACAAAGGAGGTCAGCAGCCTTAGCGCTGTTCTTGTGGTTATACAACTATAAAAATTGGCAGCGGGCTCGGGGGAAGATGCGGGGACTGAAATGACTGTAACCGGTTTTTTAAAAAATTCACGAGATTTCAAGTTGACAATGGCCCTCTAAAGAACCAGCTGGCCTGACAGCTCATCCAGTTCGAAGCTGGGGAGTACACACCCAGCCTTAATGAACATGTGGCGATTCCATTCAGGAAAGGAGAGCAACACCTCTGCTTGTGCATGTGCACACACACGGCATGTACAAGCGGGCGCACACGCATACGTAGGTCCGGCATGGGGGCCAGCGTTTCACACAGACACAGGTCCGACCTATTCCATCCTGCGGGGGGCAGTGTTCTGCAGACACATTTTGTATGGGCCCAGCTTCTGATCTCAGTTAGACTGGGGTAAATCTGAAATAAACCCGCTTTTTAACAGGGCTCCTTGAGACTTAGGTGGATATAACTTCGCGCAGAATCTCGATCACGGGCCCCCCGCCCCCGGCTGTCTGTCTGTCCTCTGCCCCCACCCCCCGGCTGTCTGTCTGTCCCACTCCCCCCGCCCCCGGCTGTCTGTCTGTCTCCTCTGCCCCTGCCCCCCCGGCTGTCTGTCTGTCTGTCCCACTCTCCCCACCCCTGTCTGTCTGTCCTCTGCCCCCGCCCCCCCCCCGGCTGTCTGTCTGTCTGTCTGTCTGTCCCACTCTCCCCACCCCTGTCTGTCTGTCCTCTGCCCCCACCCCCCGGCTGTCTGTCTGTCCCACTCCCCCCGCCCCCGGCTGTCTGTCTGTCTCCTCTGCCCCTGCCCCCCCGGCTGTCTGTCTGTCTGTCTGTCCCACTCTCTCCACCCCGTCTGTCTGTCCTCTGCCCCCGCCCCCCGGCTGTCTGTCTGTCCCACTCTCCCCACCCCTGTCTGTCTGTCCTCTGCCCCCGCCCCCCCCGGCTGTCTGTCTGTCTGTCCCACTCTCCCCACCCCTGTCTGTCTGTCTGTCCTCTGCCCCCGCCCCCGCCTGTCTGTCCCACTCCCGCCGCCCCCGGCTGTCTGTCTGTCCTCTGCCCCCGCTCCCCCGCTGTCTGTCTCTCTGTTCCACTCCCCCCGCCCCCGCCTGTCTGTCTGTCCGTCCTCTGCCCCCGCCCCCGGCTGTCTGTCTGTCTGTCTGGCAGGCGGGGCCCGGACTCCATTTCCCAGCGAGCCCCGCGGGCTGCGACCTGCGAGCGACCCGGACTCGGGGCTGGCGGAAGCGGAGCCGGGTCCGGGAGGGAGCGGCCGGCCGGCGCGGGACAGGTGGGGGCCGGGGAGCCCCGGGGCGGGGGGCCCCTGGCTTGGGGGGAACAGGGGTGGGCCCGGTATGGGGGGAGAGGGGCCCCTGGCTTGGGGGGATCATGGGAGGGGGGCCCCTGGCTTTGGGGGGTGGAGGGGGGCCCCTGGCTTGGGGGGAGCAGGGGTGGGCCCGGTATGGGGGGGAGAGGGGCCCCTGGCTTGGGGGATCATGGGAGGGGGGCCCCTGGCTTTGGGGGGGGGAGGGGGGCCCCTGGCTTGGGGGGAGCAGGGGTGGGCCCGGTATGGGGGGGAGAGGGGCCCCTGGCTTGGGGGGAGCAGGGGGTGGAGGGAGGGGGGCCCCTGGCTTGGGGGGTGGAGGGAGGGGGGCCCCTGGCTTGGGGGGAGCGGGGGCCCCTGGCTTGGGGGGTGGAGGGGGGCCCGATATGGGGGGGTGGAGGGAGGGGGGCCCCTGGCTTGGGGGGGGCTTGGGGTGGAGGAGGGGCCCTTTGTGGCCTACAAAGCAGACGGGGGACCCCAGGGCATCTGCAGGGCTGCTCTGCGTGGCTGCTGCTGCTCTCTGGGGCCGAGCATTTCACTGCAGAGGGGGGCTGCTTCCAGGCCGTTACCGATCCCCAATAGGTGCCAGCATTTTATGCGGGCACGGGGCCTAATCCCGTTCCCCAGGGGTAATGGGGGTTTGGTGGTTGATTTCAGCATGAATAGGATCAGGGTCATGCCATGGGAGCAGGGGTGGGGCGAAACCCACGCACCAATTAATCAGCGCTTGCACAGTGTGACCAGCACTTAATACACTGAAGTTATCAACCCTGCTCTTGACTCTCCTGTGACCTCAGCTAAGTCACTCCATTTCTGTGCCGACGCTTCCCCATCCGTAAAACAGGGATCATAGTACTGTCACCTGTCCGCTGAGAGGTAGCCGCTGCGGGGACCTTGCTAGCCAGCTTCTGGTGGAGGAGAAATCAGTGACATGGGCTGGGTGGGGGGTCTTAGGGCAGGTTTACACTTAAAACCCTGCATCGTGCGCCTGTGTAGCGCTTCAGTGAAGGCGCTACTATGCCGACAGAGGGCTTCTCCCATTGGTGTTGTTAATCCACCTCCCCGAGGGGAGAAGCCCTCCCGTTGACGTGGTGCTGTCCTCACCCAGTATAACTGCATCTCTCAGTGAAAAATCCATACCCCCCTGAGTGACGTAAGTTTGTAGTGTAGACCTGGCCTCAGTATGTTTGTAACTTGTTTGCACTCTGTGCACCAGTCCTGAAACAGAGGTGGTCCCAAATGGCACGCAGTCAATCATCTCTTCCAGAAATGTCAGCCCAGATGCCTGTGCCCAGTTTCCAGAGAGCAACTCTACTCCGAGAAATGACTCTGATAGATTAAGGCAGAGAGCAAACTCTCTTGCTATTTGCAACAGCTCCCCCAAGTTGAGATGCCATCACAAAGCTAACAACAGTACAGCATTTCTTGAAAGACTGAGCACTAAGAAAAATAATTTGTAACAGTGCTGTTGGTAAAAAGAAAAGGAGGACTTGTGGCACCTTAGAGACTAACAAATTTATTTGAGCATAAGCTTTTGTGAGCTACAGCTCACTTCATCGGATGCATTCAGTGACTCCTACCATAACTATATTAATTTGCCTCACGTGGGGGGGAGTATGATGTGTAGTTCTTTCACATTCGCAATGCATGTTAAAATTCTTGAAACGGAAGTGCTGGGGAAGGGGCAAGCTGTGATTGATTGATTAATTAGAGATCCCATGTCTGATTTATTTCTGTCCCTTCATGCAGCTTGAATAGTGAAACTGTCCAGTGTCACTTTCTTTTTTGTGTTCAGGACTCTGCAGGGGTAGATATAAATTCAAGAAAACCCTCTTCCATAAACTTTTTTTGAGAATCTCTTAAAACATTTCTTTTCATACTGGGCTTTAACAGCACTCTCTACCCAAACAAAACCTACATGTGAGGCCCTAGTGACACTGTCAAGATGTTTCAGTGATGACCTCAACTTGAAGTGTGTCTGGTTTATTAAAAAAACAATTTAAGGAACACTGATAACCTGAGATTTTTTTTTAACCATTTTTAAAAAATCAGTGCTCTTTTAAAACACCCTTTAACTAGCATGTACAAAATATTTTTTAGTTGCTTAAATATATTGCAACGTTTTTTCTGCTTCTCTGATAATATTCGTAAGGGTCTTTTGGAAGGGTCTGGGACCAACATGACCTTAGCCTTGTTTCCTCTGCACGCACCTGCTTGCTGCTTTTTACGTTTCAGCTTTGCTGCTGGTGGTAAGGTAAACAGCCTCTTGCAAACTGCTGCTAAATGCACAAGGGAAACAAACTAGAAAAAAGTCTCCCATTGCTTTAAGTTCTAGTGATCGTAGGGGTTACTTGCAACAATAGGAGGGAGATGTTTTCAGGCTGTGACTTCTCAGTGGATGATGTCCCTTTAGTTCCCTTAGAACTATCTCTGAGTCTTGTGCTTTTATTAAAGAGGCCTTGAAAAATTATTAAAACTTGTGCTTCAAAACAGCGGAAATTCCTCCTGCATGTGACCCATTGGCTGGCGTGAGGGAAGGTGGCAGTTCCTTATTCCATCCTTAACATCAAATAGGTCCCTTGTTTCAGTCATGTGGGGAGTCTTGTAATAGCCTGAGACCCAGCAACTCCAGACAGCCACTGGATGGCAGTGGAGTGACGGAGAGGATACACGTTAGCCAGATCTCTGCCCCACTAACTGTGATGCAGCTGCCTTGCAGCATCTGTGTTTTCCACTGCCCTCTTGACCTACTCAGGACCCTATTTGCCCATCGCCTTCCAGTTGGGGGCTTGATGACCTCTCTGGTGACATGGAGGAAGTGGGAAGCCAGGTTTGCTAACCCTGCCAGAATCTCTGCCCCTGTTCAGCTCACATATGCCCCTGGCTTCTGCAGTTGCATCTGGCCAGGAAGGTTTGCAGCATGAATCTCAGCACCGATCTGGTGCAATGCTTCTGAGATGATTTGGGTTTAATTGCCTTTTCTCCCGCCCTGCAGATTTTGTAGCCATGGCGGAGCCGGCAGGAATGAAGCCAAAGCGCATCCTGGTAACCGGTGGCACCGGACTGGTGGGGAGAGCTATTGAGAAGGTGGTCGCTGATGGAGAGGGCAGGCCAGATGAGGAATGGATCTTTGTGTGCTCCAAGGATGCTGACTTAACGTGAGTCCTTAAGAACATAAGAATGGCCATACTGGGTCAGACCAAAGGTCCATTTGGCCCAGTATCCTGTCTTCCGACAGCAGCCAATGCCAGGTGCCCCAGAAGGAATGAACAGAACAGGGAATCCTCAAGTGATCCATCCCATCGCCCATTCCCAGCTTCTGGCAAACAGAGGGTAGGGACACCATTCCTGCCCATCCTGGCTAATAGTCATTGATGGACCTATCTTCCATGAACTTATCTAGTTCCTTTTTGGACACTGTTATAGTCTTGGCCTTCACAACAGCCTCTGGCAAAGAGTTCCATAGGTTGACTGTGCGTTGTGTGAAGAAATACTTCCTTTTATTCATTTTAAACCTTCTGTCTGTTAATTTCATTGGTTGACCCCTAGTTCTTGTGTTATGAGGAGTAAATTACACTTCCTTATTTACTTTCTCCACACCACTCATGATTTTATAGACCTCTATCATATCTCCCCTTAGTCATCTCTTCTCCAAGCTGAAAAGTCCCAGTCTTATTACTCTCTCCTCCTACAGAAGCCATTCCATACCCCTAATAATTTTGGTTGCCCTTTTCTGAACCTTTTCCAATTCCAATATATCTCCAATATCCTTGCTGCACTGGACTCTTCTTTGCTTGTTCATTGTTGTCTGAAATGTCCCTATCCATTTTGGGTGGCTTGCAGGGGGAGTGCTCTCACACTAGGAGAGCAGGGTTCAACTCCTCAGCAGACAAGTGAAAATGATGTGTGTGGCATGGAGGACTGTGCCTTGTCTCAGGCCCTGTTACAAAACTCCTTCATGGTTCTGGAATGACAGGCGGTCTCTTCTCCAGAGACGCTGAGGAACGGAGCTAGCAATGGGTGCTGCTGGTGAGGAGCGTTGGCAGAGCTGCGTGTGAAGCCTTAGTGCTGGATTAGCAGGAAGGTGCTGTACGTTAGGATGGAGGTGGGCTGGCACAACTGCGTGGCCAGAACCTGACTTAAGCTGATGCTGTCAGCCCCTTACTTTCTTTCTTCCCACTAAAGGTGTGGCTACACAGCAAAAGCCGGCCACGGGCTTGGCTACCTGAGCTAGCAAGCTGAGTACGTACCTAGGGTCAATGCTGGCTTTGCAGTGAGCATGCTATGCTGTCTTCACTGCTATAGTTACCCACTCTAGCTGGATTCCAGCTAGCTCGGGTCGGCTAGCCCGTGTGCAGCTTCTGCTGTGTAGACGTCCCCTAAGTGTGGAGGGTAGGATAACCATGTTCACTTCTGGTTTAAACTGGCTTTTGGAGTTGTTGAGACAGCCCCAGAATGAGCCCATTGCGGCTGCCTCGCGCATGTTACCGCCAGCTTTGCTCCGGGACGCCCACTCCCCTCCCCCCACGCAGCGTCATGAGATGAAAGCGAACTGGATGCGTATTCAAAAGTCTGATGTCAGATTAACTGGAGGTGGCTGGCCACACCCTGCGTGCGGCTCAGAGGGTCTGCCGGAGACCTGGGCTGTGGGGTTGATCAGGGAGCAGCCCTGTTCCAGAAGAAGTCAGGCGGAGGGCAGGGTATGAGTGTTTCTATTTCATGGGCCTCGGGTATAGTGCGCTGGAGACCCGAGTGTGTTCAGGATCTGGGCAATGTTGATCCTCACATAGACTGAGGTCAGGAGTATTGTGCCTTTAAAAATGAAAATGGTGTGAGTGCGGGGTGCTGTAGGACCATGCTGGGGCTAGGCTCAGCACGGGTGCTCCCTCGAATGGCTAAGGAGACCTGTCCTTTGGGTCTGTCCACGGTCTTTGCTCTTGAACCCTCCATCTGCTGGCTTCCTGTCGGCATGCTGTTTTCACTCCTGCAGCTGCCACGTCATTCGGTGCAGCCTGTTGTATCACCAGGTAAGAAGCCTGGCCAATCCCAGCCAAGGAAAGTTAAACGATACCCTCTCTTTGGCAATTCAGTCCTTGCTGTCACCGGCTCCAATCACATTCCCCCAAGTATGCCATGCACCTGAGCCCCGCCCCCTTTCCAGGTGAGAGTCAGCCAGTCCGAGTGACGGAAAAGGTCCTGTCTGGTCCATCCAGGGCTTTCATCCAGTCTGGTGTTAGTGATAGGCAGTGGTGTCGTAGCCATGTTGGTCCCAGGATATTACCGTACACTGAGCTTTTCTTCAGGTCTCTCTCTCCAACAGAAGTTGGTCCAATAAAAGATATTCCCTCTCCCCTGTGTCTCTCTAATCGTTTTAGTGGTGGCATCACTGAATTGTCAAACCCTCATGAGGCATGAAGACTCATTGTCCTTGTGCTGCAGGTTTGTCTGACACTCCTTGTGCTAACAGGAGTGGCATTTAATCAGTAGCAAGATCAGTTCACTGCCTCCTGGGAGCCAGGAACTCTTTGAGTTCTAACTCGCCCTGATGCCGACTCCGTCTTTGGCCTTGGGCAAGTCACCATCACCTTTCTGTGCCTCACTTTCTCTGACTGTACAACGCACTGCGTAGGGGTGCTGTGGGGGCCCATTAGTTACCTGTGTAAAACACTTTGAGGACAAAAAGAGCTGTGTAACTGACATGCGATGGTGTGTGTTAGAGAAATGGCAGACAGCAAAGGCCTATGAGATCAAAGCTCACCTCTGCCGGGATAGGTACAAAACACTCCACAATGGTTAGGCAGCTGCTGTGTTGTGTCTCCTGCTTACCCCGCTAATCTGGGACTGGGGAGATCTGGGTTTGCGGCAGAGCAAGGAATTGGACTCCCTATGTCACCTTGGGGAAGTCACTGTGTGCCTGTTTCCAATCTGTAATATGGGGATAATAGCACTGCCCTGCCTCCCAGGGGTTGTGAGGATAAATACATCAGACTGTGAGGTGCTTAGATACTGTGGTCATGGGGGTCAGATAGGTATGTAGGATGGCTAGAATGTGCCCCTGAGGGTTCTGTTTGTTGTTTCCTCTCCCCTGTAGGAATGCTGCTGAGACCAGAGCCCTGTATGAGAAACACAGACCCACCCACGTGATCCACTTGGCAGCCTTGGTGGGAGGCCTCTTCAAAAACATCAAATACAACCTGGATTTCTGGGTAAGGGGCCAGGGTGGCAAATGCAAAGGTGGAACGTCTGGTCCAGCGGGCTGTCACTCTCACTGCACCATGCTGTGTGGTCCCCCTTTGCCCTTCCTTCAAGGACTTGGGAGCACTTTGCAGACATTCATGAATTAACCCTCGCCGCACCCCCTGCCTCCAGGCTGTAGGCTAGGCCACCTTAATTGTAGGGACACTGAGGCACCGAGACATGACTTCCCTGGGTCACATGTGGAGTGTGTGGCAGGGCCAGAAATAAAGCCCAGGCCAGTCAGGTTTATTAAATGGGTGGATGAAGTCATTAACTCCTTGGGTGCTGGGCCTTCTGCCACTGCAGATGGGACTCCTCTTGCTGGGTTACCAAAACGTGTGATTACAGTGTATGGGCCCGTGTAAGTGCTGCTGAACTGGGAACCACTTGCCCACCAGGGCTCTTGTGGGGCTAATGAACTGTCCCCAGCACTAGCCCTGCATCCAGAGATGAACCCCCGGGCCTTGGCTGGGATGATTCTCTCCCCAGGCGCTGGTGAGTGACTCTCTAATATGACAGGTTTCAGAGTAGCAGCCGTGTTAGTCTGTATTCGCAAAAAGAAAAGGAGGACTTGTGGCACCTTAGAGACTAACCAGTTTATTTGAGCATAAGCTTTCGTGAGCTACAGCATCCGATACATCCGATGAAGTGAGCTGTCGCTCACGAAAGCTTATGCTCAGATAAATTGGTTAGTCTCTAAGGTGCCACAAGTACTCCTTTTCTTTAATATGAAGGGGTGCAGCTTATTAGCAGCTGGTGTTGGACCCCTGCCCCTCCTCCTGAATCACACACACACATGCACACCAGGTCAACCTAGCCTGGTTAGATTTCTCGGGCTGGCCCATGTGGTTCAGCGGCCGGCAGTCATCTTACCTGTAATACAGATGAACAATCCATGGTGACTACAAGTCCCAGCATGCAATGCTCCTCCTTGATCTGAGCGGGCTTCACTTAGTGCTGGCTGGAACGTTGCATTCTGGGACGTGTAGTCTTCACATGGTGGCTGCCATCTGGTCCTTCCTACGCACAGTAAGTGCAGTCCTTCAGCACCTGGGCTGGATAACGTGTGGCCCTCCTGGCTCGCTGCTCTGTGTGCGCATCTCCTCCTTGTCTGGTCTCCCTTCACCTGGCTGTGGATCAGAACGGGGAAAGGAAGGGGGCTGGTCTGTTTCCCGCCCAGCCCAGTAAGTACCGTGGCTGCGCCTGGGGATGAGCTGGGGAGCGACGGCATGAAAGGGCTGTGCAGATAACGGGTCTGCATAGAGAAGGGGGCCTGAAAGCCCCATAGCACCAACACGAGCAGCTGAACCCCTTGCGTGGGGGGCAGTGAAAGCCATCTGGCCGGAGCTGTGGGTTGGGGAGTGGGGCCCTCGCTGTGTCCAGAGCTGACACTGCCGTGAGAGAGGTGGAATGCAAGGTAAAGTCCAGACCTGAGTGGTTAGAGCTGATCCCACTCCAGACTCCAGAGACAAGCTTGGGGTCTCCCCCAAGGACTGTCCCTTCAGCCCTCAGCCGTTCAACTCTGGTACCACCAGTGAGACTAGCCTGGGAGCTCCACGGCAACCCGTCCTGAGCCTGCGATGGTCAGAGTCAGGGCAGGTTCTCGACAAGCTGGAAGGCCCGGGTGGGTCGTGCAGTAACTGATCCGAATATAACGGGACTCCTGACTCCCCGCTGGACATCTTTTCCCCAGCGGAGAAACGTGCACATCAACGACAACGTCCTTCACTCAGCGTACGAATTCGGGGTGCAGAAAGTCGTCTCCTGCCTTTCCACCTGCATCTTCCCGGACAAGACCACCTATCCTATCGATGAGACCATGGTAAGGGGCGGCCTTCGGGCAGGGCATGCAGCACCCTGCCTTACAACTTCCGTTGCTCACTCAGCTTCACCTTTGCTCCACCCAGAGCTGCGGGTTAAGCACAGTAACATCGGTTAAGTTACTGTGCACCTTGGGAAGGGGAGATGGTTGGGGGCTGCCTCGGTGCAGCAGGTGGACAGCCTATTGTGATACCAGTTACGCTGATCTGAGAGAGTGACAGCTGGTCGTCTTGGCTCTGGTCTTCTTTCCCATCCTGGTTGGCTGACTCGGTGGGTGATGGGGAGAGCAGAGCCGACCCCTCCGGCTAACGTCCTGCATGGGCTGGGGATTCCAGCCGCTCTCTGGTGCAGACTCATGCCGTAACCAGTCAGGTTGGCCCAGTATCTGCATCCTAGTTCTCTGCACCGCTGTGGGGGCTGTCCCTCACTCATTGCGCTGATGTGCATGTGGGGTCGGGCAGAGTGGGGAGCGCCTGCCTTGCTCGACAGCCATCCCTCCGGCCAAACAAGGAGCAGGATCGTCCGGTCCAGTGCAAGCCCCGTCCCATCCTCCTTGGGCAGAAACAGGCGGGCAGCCCTGCAGCACGGGCTCACGAGGAATAAGGGGACCTTCAGGGGACATATTGGATTCCTGCCATCTCTGCCTGCCTGTGGCTTGTCTGTGATGTGAGCTGAGCCCAGGGCTGGCAGGTGGTAACAGCTCCTCCATTAGCAGATCGAGGCGCTCCAGGATGCTGCTCTCCTGCTCCGAACTCGGGGTATGTCTATGCTGCACAGCTAATCTGGGCTCTTACCTGGGTTCTAGCCTTAACACCAGCCCCCTCTTTCCCACTGTCCACATACAGAAAGCTCTGGCCTGGCCTTGGGGGTGCTTTAAACCTGGGCTAGCTGACCCAGCTAGGGGTATAGTATAAGTCAGAGCCCAGGATCTGGGCTGGAACCCACCTACGCTGCAGTGAGGATGCAGGCTAAATCACAAGTGCCGATAGTCCTCCAGTGCCAACAGTCCCTTCCTGAAGGACAGATAAGTTCTCTTGCAACTGACCCGATCGATGGGGGAAAGAATCCTAGAGCATCTCGGCACAAAGAACCATGGGATATGGCCCCTGAACACACACAGGCAAGTGCAGAGACAGTGAGGACATGGGGGCACAGGGGGAGCTTTGCTGTGTGGATGCTCGCACTCAGGTTAGGCTAACCCAGGTGTCGAGCACCTGGCTTAACTGTGCAGTGCAGACATAACTTCCGCTTATTCTCCCTATGCCTCCTTCCCCTTGGGGCCAGGCAGCGGAGGTTGAAACCCCATTTTCACCAGGCTGACGTTACTTTTCCCAACTGTGCCGTCTGTGTTTTCCCCAGATTCACAATGGGCCCCCGCACAGCTCCAACTTCGGGTACTCGTATGCCAAGAGAATGATTGACGTTCAGAACAGGTATGATCCATCCCCTTCCCTCCCCTCCCCGCCCAAGCTGTATGGCTCAGGGAGGGACTTACACAGTCCATACATCTCTGTAAAGACCTTTGTGATCCCCGGATGAAGGACTGTATAAATATTATCACTGTCACTGTAGGATAATTCCTTCCCCTTGTGCGCTCTGACCTCACCTGGCACAAGGAGTGAGAGGCTGGGGGTGGATGGAACTTGCAGGGGCTGCAGGGGGGTTGGCAAGCCCCAGTTCATTTCCCTAAGTCCTGCTGGAAGAACAGGGTTAGGCCCTGATACACGGAAGGGGGACAGTGACTTGTGCTCACAGCCCTCAGCTGCACGGAACATGCCACTGAGCTAGTCACTCACTTGCCCTGGCCCTCTCTCCCCCTTCTCCCAGGGGGTATTTCGAACAGCACGGCTGCCGATTCACCGCCGTGATCCCCACCAATGTCTTTGGACCTCACGATAACTACAACATTGAGGACGGGCATGTCCTTCCGGGACTGATCCATAAGGTGTACCTGGCAAAGAGTAAGTGCGGAGCCTTCATTCAGCTCTCAGCTTCATAGTCCAGCCAACAGGGTTCTGTTGCTTGGGCAATATGGGCAGCACAGATGGTTCCTGCTGCGGGGAGGGAAGTTGTGTCTTTTTTGCTCCTAATGAGCCTGACATTCTTCGCATCCGATCCCTAAACTGTTTGAAAGTGTTGCTGTGTGCTGTTACACAAGTGCCATGTTCCACCCCAGAGCGGACTGCATTTCTGCAGTGGGTGAATGGATCCTCGTGTGTCCCTTCCTTCTTCAAATGTGGGTTACCTGGCTAATGTTAATGAAGTGCTTTAAGATGCATAGCTGAAGGGGCTACTGTAAATTATTTGGTTTGCAAAATACTTTTCACTTTCTGATCTTCACCTGGCTGTCTTGTGTGCCATTGAGGTTGCTGAAGTGACGGTGTTTCATATCTGCAGATACGTTGATTAGGTACCATTTAGCACTGGGCTAAGAGGATGGTCGGAGTTTGGTCCATCCAGAATGTTTCTGTATCTCTCAGCGTAGAGGATTGCCATACTGAATTTATGTATGTAAAGCAGTAATGTCCAGGGAGTTTCGGGTCCTCATTTAGGAAGGGAGTTGCCCCACGAGATGATCAGGGCTCGATAGATCATGGGGCTCATTTCCTACTGAAAGCATTGGGCATTTAGGAAGCATAAGTTGCCCTTGGCTGCAGTTGTAAGTGGCAACGATGTACCTTTCTGTAGAGCTCCACAAGCCCACATACATCACCATTGAAATGCAGGCACCTCTGGGATGGAGGACAGCAGCCAAGTGGAGAACACCCAACTGTGAATGGGAGACGGAGGGGAATTTTATCTAGGACGCTAGGGCAGATCCCTCCTGTGTGTGCCATGATTTCATTAATGGACACACACAAAGAGGACCTCAGGTCATGTCTCAAAGACCCATACATACACAGACAGCAAACTGCATGGAACTGATCCTCAGGTAGGGAGGGGCAGGAAATGGGAGGGAAACCCATTGGCACCCAGAATGGTCTGCATCCAGGCTGCAGTGTCATGGTTTGTGGAGTCCATTGGGACCCTGTGGGTTTTTTCTACTGTACAGTACAACTAAACCTCTCTGCCTCTAACGAGCCATGGATGGCTCCAGGCAGCTGTAGCTGCAGGGCTGCCAACAGGGTTTTCTGCTAGAGTTGTTGGATGGTAAGTTCCTGAGAGCCATGATGGTTGGATTCCTCACTTGGCTCTTGGTTGGGCATTGCCCCTCCGTGCAGGAGTGAAACTAGCAAGTGATTTCTGTGCAGAGTCAGGGAAGGGGTCCAGGCTCAAATCTCAGCCAATGAGGAAACAGAGAAGGACCATTCCGACTCCATGGTGTGACGGGTTCCCCCTCGGGGTGCCACTTGGAACTGGGGTACCACTGAGCTGCCTGACCCACCAGCCTCGGTTCCCCTTACTCTGTGCTGCTGTGACAGGCTCCCAAGCCCCCAGCAATGCACACAGGTAGGGACACACCCAGCTGCAGAAACAAACACACATGCTGAGATCAGCTCTGTATGGGAAGGCTCAGCTAAGGGATTGCCCAGCACTCAAGGGGATAAACCCAAAACTGGGCTGTCTTGGGCTGCACAGAAAATTATACAGCATAAGATCATAAAATTTGCCCCCTCCCTCAATGTGGAGGAAGATATGCAACACCTTTTTACTACCACCTCCCCCCCAGTTACGAATTCCATAAAGTGGTTTTAGAGAAAACAAAACCAAGTTTATTAACTACAAAAGGTAGATTTAAGTGATTATAAGGGATAGCAAACAGATCAAAGCAGATTACCTAGCAAATAAAACAAACATGCAATAAAATACTAAAGAAACTGGTTACAAGAAATAATTTCTCACCCTAAATGTTGTTTGAGGCAGATTGCAGAGATTCTTGAAGGCCAGATGCACTTGCTTGCTTACAGCTTCAAATATTTCATTCACAAGCTAGACAATCTTCCAGCCTGCGCTCAGTCCTTCTCCCCTCATTCAGTCTTTTCTTAGATATTTACAGCTGTCATCTTGGACCGGGATTCAGCCAAGAGGGAACCATGATTATGTCACTCCCCTGCCTTAAATAGGTTTTCCATATGGCAGGAATCCTTTGTCTTCCAGGGTGATTCCCACCCACGGTCAGTGGAAAAATACTGGTGTGATTCATGGAGTCCCGCATCAGGTGACTTGCTCACATGACCTTGCAGCCATAACTCAGAGTTGGTTTGGAGCATCCCCAGGAAGAACTTCTCTGGGAGCGATAAACATCTTCTGAGACCTCGTGTTCTCTCTAATGGCCCTTCCTCATAGCAAGCTATCTAGACTGATGGCATTCTGTCTGGTGGGTGTTCCCCAGGTGTAAACACACTTGTAATTCATACATAGTCAATATTCCTAACTTCAAATGCAGAAATGATACATGCATACAAATAGGATAATCATAGTCAGTAAATCGGAATCTTTCCAATGATATCTCACGATCCATCTCGCATAAAATACATCATGGATATGCTATAATTATATCACAATATCTCTGAAGAATATAGGGCATAGTGTCACACGTGGCTACTTACAGCCCCTTGTGTCAAGCTGGAGCATAGAGTGCTGGGACTTGTAGTCTCCAGGGGCTGTACCTCACTTTAGAGAGGAGGGCTGTGGTGTAAAGCTACCCCGGCCCAGCCCTGGCTCTCTCTTGCACGAGGGTGTTTGGACGGGGAGGGCGGGGGTGGAACCTGTGGCCTGTGCTGCGGTTGGAACATCCACTAATGGCCATTCTCTTGATTGTCCCACAGAAAATGGCACGGCTCTCACTGTCTGGGGGACAGGGAAGCCCAGGAGACAATTCATCTACTCTCTGGTAGGCACGGCCTTCACGGAGCCCAGCCCGTTTGGACTGGGCCCTGAGTTTCCTGGGGCCCAGAGCAGATTTCAGACATCCTGAGCCCATGGCTGGGAGCACGGGTTGCCTGGCCCTGGGAGGCTGCAGCAATGCGCAGGGCTGTGAATGAGGGTGCTGGCCTCTGGTGGGATGGGTCCCCCAGTTCCACCTCCGGGAGTGGGAGGAGGTAGGTGTGTTCTGGTGGGGCAGGGGTGGGTGGGCTTGCTGGCAGAGGGGGCTCTGAAGCCATACAACCCTTTGCAGCCACACGCTAGAACCCTGGCCTGGGTGCGCTATTAGCTCCCTGCGCTCAGGGATTGCCTGTTGCCGTAATACAAGCCACATACAGCTGCTAAGATGAGCAAATTGTTCTGACAAATAACGAGCAATAAACTCAGGACAGGTCCCAGACTGCACGTCCAGCCCTGTGCACTAGCTGGGGAGAGGGGATCAGATTGGCCCTGCCTTGGCAGCATGGGGGAGCGTCCTCCCAGGAGCTGGGCCTCGATGGAGGCATCCCTTTCAGAGGTATCATGGTTCTGTCTGTTAGCATGGCTGTGTCTACTGGAATGATAGTTTGTTTCTGCCAGGCCAGGGCTGGGGTCCCTTTAAAGGCCATTTGTGGCAAGGCCTGGAGGGATAGTTGCAGAGGGAGGGAGCTGGCAGCTGGGGGAGCGGGAGATTGGAGCTGATCCTGCTTTGCCCTGCTGAGTTGGAGGCGGAGGGGGCAGCAGCCCGGCAGTAGCAGGCTCAGCTTCCTGGCAAACAGCCCCCATACAACATCCCCGGCCTTCAGCAACGAGGAGCTTGTGTCTGTGCCTTGAGCTGGGATCCTGTGGCTCCTGGGAAGGGAAAGGGAGGAGGCAGAGAGATTGAGAGCTGCTCCTTTGTGCCCACAGGACCTGGCACGGCTCTTCCTCTGGGTCCTACGGGAGTACGATGAGGTGGAGCCCATCATCCTGTCAGGTAAGGTGTCCCCTCACCCCCGCCATCTCTCTCCCTCTGACGGTGTCATGACTCTGCCCTTTTGCCAGATGCCCTCAGCTCTTATTGCAGCGCTGGGAGGGAAAGTCCCATGTCCCCACTGCTCCCTAGGCCATCCTATCTGGTTCTGTAGCAGGGTCAGTGCAGGATACCCCTCTCTGCAGTGCCCCCACAGACCGATCTAGAATCCACAGTGGTGGCATGAGGCGGCTGCAGGCTCTGATCCCCCACCCTCATTTCTCTCTGGGGCGGGCGGCGACGGGGCTTCCCTGAGCGTTGTGGCTGGCACCAGGGGTGGAAGAGCGGCATAGCCTCACCCTGGCTCTCTGTTTAGTTGGAGAAGAGGACGAGGTGTCTATCAGGGAAGCCGCGGAGAGCGTCGTGGAAGCCATGGACTTCAAGGGAGAACTCATTGTATCCTTTTACAAATGACTGCTCTGATGCCCTGTCTCCTGAGCTGTGCCCAGCTCACGGGGTCCTGGCCTGGCACCCACTCCCCACACTCGCGTGCACCCTCGGGAGGGGGAGAATTGTCGCATCCGAACATCTACGGCTTAATTCCCAGCTGATCCAGTGCAAGATTATTCCCTGCTGCACGTTCTCCAGTGCTTGGTCTGGTCCAGGGTGAAGTGGCTCAAGTGATGGTATTTGCACCACTTCCTGTGGGTCGTTCTCGGACTGGAGAGCTTGTTCCACGGATGTTTGATCCGTGCTTGGAAGTCGGGGGCCATCAAGGTCTCTGCGATCTGATGGTGACCTGGGGTCTCCTTGGAGACAGTGTCTTCCATTCTTAGTGCAGCTGATAGTGTGAACGTAGCTGCTACTCGCACTCAACGTTTCAGGTGGTGCTCTGGGCCCCCTTTGTTAGTCAGCCTCTTCCCTGCAAACAATGGGCACGAGGGATCTCCCTCTTGTGGGCTCTCTCTCCGCTCACCCCTGCGCCTGGCTGTTCAGGTTAAGGCCCAGCTGCAAACCTTACAGAAAGGGACATGTACAGTAGACGTTTGATACCAAGGCCCCAGCTCTCGTCCTGCCTGGCTACTACCAGTAGGGGCCGCCCTGGAGTAACGTTAGGTTCGAACTCGGCGGAATTCCCGTTTGTTTTCCCTTACCCCCCCACTGTGTCCAGTTTGACACGACGAAATCCGATGGCCAGTTCAAGAAAACAGCCAGCAACGGCAAGCTGAGGCGGTGCCTGCCCGACTTCCAGTTCACGCCGTTCAAACAAGGTAAGACTTGAAGGCCGCGCTGCTCAGGAGTCGCTCTGGCTCTCCTGCCCCTTGGCGGGAACATCCACCGCACTGCATCGGCTGCCCGTGTCTGATCTCACCTCTGCCCTCCAAAGGAGTAGGGTCGGATTTGTGGGGAAGGCTCCCTCCCTCCTGCAGATCCCACAGCCTCAGGCATCACCGGCCGCATGCACCAAGAACTCGAATGCAGCGAGTGTCTAAAGAGATGCTGTGAGAAACCCATGGGAGCAGAGGCAGCAGCTCTGGTTGTAGGGGCAGGATGGTGCAGTGACTGAAGCACTGGCCTGGGGGGCTCGGATCTGTGGGTTCTGTTCCCAGCTCTGAGACAGCGTGTAACTTTAGATGGGTCACTTCATCTCCCTGGTCCATTTCCTCCTCCTCTCGCATGGCAACAATGATTCTTCCACTCCTCCTAGCTCAGTAAGCAGTGGCCAGTGGCACAGCGTTAACTGGAGGAGTGAGCTGCCGCTGGTTGTGATGCTTCAGGCTGTATGGGGATCTAACTGCCTTCCCCCTTCCCCTCCAGCTGTGAAGGAAACTTGCGACTGGTTCAAGGTGCACTATGACATCGCCCGGAAGTGACCAGCGCCCCAAAGCCATTGTGATGATTGGCCAGCACTGCCCTGGAGGTTCCTCTGAGACTCAGGGTTTTCCTTTGCTGGAGCAGAGGAGGGGACGCGTGAGGGCATTCGGGGCTGTGAAATGATGGTGGAGATAGATACAGCTTTTCCAAAGTAGAATTTGAGAGTGGGGTGGGGAGATAAGCTCAGCAAACGTGAGTGAGAAATACCCTGTCTTTCTCTGTGACACAGGACTCACTACTAGTCATCTCAGCCAGCCAGGGGCGTAGAACTTCATGGGGTGGAATGGGGAGAAACTCTCTGTTCAGGGATCAAAGTGAATCTTGGTTAAAAGGTTCCAAAAATGCAAAGAATGAGGCTCCTCCCCACCCCCCCGCTTCCAACATTCCTCTCTGTGGTTATAAATATCCCAGGAACTGCAGATCAAGCTTAGGTCAAAAGGAGTTTAGTAAGGGAAGTCTTGCCTAGTCCGAACCCCCTGGGCCTTCCCCCAAAGGCGGTGCCCTGGGAGAGGCTGGAGGGTTGGACCTTCCTGTTGAGGTACCTGGAAGTTTACATGCTGCCTCTGCATCATTGACTGAATATTTTTTAAAATAGACAGAGCCCCCTCTCCGTCAAACCTCATCACTGTTCTCGCTGGATCCCTTTCCCTTGCCTGTGCTGATGCCACCTCCTGTTACGCTGTAATTGGTCAGGCTGCCAATCAAGTGTAAAGCCGTCTGTAGTTAGGTTCAGAATAAATCAGAGCTGACTTTCCCCTTGTGTTTATGCTCTCGTAAAAACAAGCTGCAAGGCGTTAATCCTGAACCCGAGCCTGGGCAGCCCAGCGTTCCCGGGACGCTCCCTCTCTTGCTGCCAGGGGCTGGTGCTGCTCAGCTGTGGGGGCCGTTCATCAGCATCAGAAATCTTGTCTTCACCCCCCAGGGTTAGACTGTTAGCGGGGGGCTCTCCTGCAGTGTTCCGGTGGGGGGGAAGAGAAGTTTTGCTAGCCAGAGCAGGTGTAGCCATGCCCCTGTAACTACTATGGTCTCCGATGTTTGGGAGAAGTCAGAGGGGAAGGTCCGCAGGCTTTCTAGGGTATCCCCTTTGTGAATTTGTCCCCAAGAGGTTCTGGTGCTTCCTCTTATTTTAAATCAGGTGATGGAGCTTCCAGTGCTCTTCAGCAGAGCAACGAGAGTGAGGACAAGGTCTATCACAGCTGCTACTAACTGTCTTCTGTGAAGGTGCTCCCATCACCTACCCTGTGAGACAACATGCAGCCTCCTGGACTCAGGCAGGAAGCTTTCCTTGGAGATGCCACCACAGTCTGCCATGAGTGTCTGCAGCCGAGCAAGGGCTGGCTTGAGTGGTGCCCATGTTCCACTCTCCTAGGCCGACTGCTTTCCCCAAACATATTTCCCCAGGGCCTCTTTTAGAAAAGGAACAGGCCCAGAGGTGGAGCTCTTAAACTGTGAAACATTCACACTCCAGCCAGTTACAGCCTTTCTGTCTACACCAGCAATTCATGGACTGTTCTAACACCTAGGTACAGGCAGGCTTTTTTTGGGGGGAGGGCATTGCCTTTGGAGCAGGCAGGCACTAAACTAAGGCACTAGTAAGTTTAGCATTAGACACACTCCTACCCCTGGGTTCTTCCGGTGGCTTTCAGCACAAAGCATATTTGACAGCACAGAGATGTGTCAAGAGGCCGGCTCAGATGCTGGGGCTTTCCTCCCTCCCCTTAGCAAGGGACAGAAGCAGCAGCCCATTGGTTTGCTGTTACCCCTGCACTGGCCCAAGCTGTGCACAAAGCAAGCAAGGATGAGCTAGCAGGAAAAACCTCTTCCATGCCTGCTTTTTAGTTCAGTCTCTTCAGGGATGTTTACAGGGGTCACTCAGGAGATAACTAAAGTTGGGCACAGGCCAGGCTTTCTCACAAATGTTTCTGGGGACCTCAATGTGCAGCCACCAACTCTTGCTGGTGGCTGTTCTGACAAACCCCTCTCTTTCCCTGCCTCCCACAGCCCTTCATCATGAGCCTGCCCTGCAGGGGGTCAGGAACTTGCTGGCCACTTGTGGGGTCCCAGGCTCCCAGTGCCCTGGCTGGGTGGGAGCAGTGGAGCTGCCCTGGGGAATGCCCCAGGAACCACATGGTGCAGCCACCTCCGCTGACAAGAACCACCTCTGGTGCCAGGCACAGCAGCCCTACAAGTCTCCAGCGGCGCTTCCTGGAGCCAACAAGGTGGCCGCAGGGTGCTGATCCCTGCGGGTGGGGCCAATGCAAACACCAAGGCAGTGCATCTCTCGCTGTTCTTGGTAACAGCTGTTCAGCAGTAACAGCTGGGTGCTTCAAGGAGGGGCTTTGCCCCTCCCCCCCAAAATCTCCACCCATGCTTTAGAGGTGTCATGGCCACAAAAATTAAAATCTGCTAGTGGCCGCATTTGAGAAACACTGGGCTAGAGAATTTGAACAGGTGCCTGTTGAGGGAACAAGAGGGCCCATAGCCCAGCTTTAGCATTACTGACTGTCCCTATTCTCAGGGCTAGCTAGCATCTTCCCAGCCCGCAGGCATCACTGCTGTTTGGCTGGAGATATGGGTCACACCAGAGCTCTGCAACCCTGTTCTCCTACCACCCACTGACCAGCATCACCATTACTTTTAACTAGCCAAAGTGCCAGCACATTGGAACAGGGCACAGAGCTTTGGACAGGTGGGTTAGGAAACAGCCACAAGCCTGTTTCCCTCTCCCCCAGGTCAGGTTTCCTACTACCCCCCTAGTGCAGTAAATGAGATCTAGCCAGGCCCACTTTAATTTAGAACTGACCTACTGGGTAAAGGTTCATGGATTGTCCTACTAGCCTGTCATATAAATTGTTTGAGAAATATTTAAGGAGACAGAGGGAATTAATTTAAACCAGTAGATTCTACAGCTGTGACTCTAGGACTGTGTTAAGATCATGGCAGATAAACAAGGTGCAGTGGCTAGAAATCAATGGACTAAATTTGTGTTGGAAATAGGCCTAATTGGCCAACAAAACCATGAGGGGATGGGCTATTCCACCCACCACTCCCTTTTGGGGCCCTTAAACGAAAATACTTGTTTTGCGTGGGGGGGGGGGGGGGGGGAGAGAATAGGCAAGAGGAAGCTGACCACTGACATAGGCAGAAGAGGAGGAAAAGCATCAACTAGCTTCAAGGGTGCCACCCTCACCAGCTCCTAGGACCCACCAGGACTCTGTTAGGCCTTTGTTGTCCTAGTCCCAAGAGATGTCCTGACGCACCAAGGCCAGAGCAAGGGACCCAGAGGACATCAGTACTGGCACCAGCTTTGGCTAACTCTCAACCACCACCTGAGAGGTGAGGGTCTGTCACACCCCCCCCCCACCTCCTCTTTTTCTTCCCAAGCTTGTTTTCTTCTTCTTTCCTATCCCTTTCCTTTTGCCTTCTGTCTAGTAAGAATCTGGCTCAGCCAGCCAAGACTCTTTAACAACACTGCTGGAAGCCTGACCAGCAGCAGACAGCTAAAAGGAGTGCCCCAAGCAGCCTGAGAGTGGTGTAAGTTTGCAAGGTCTCCTAGTGGCTACTAAAGCCCCAAGCCCTGCCTTGTTTTTTCCAGCAGTAAGATTGCAAATAGTAGTTAGCACTGGAGACAGCAGCTGCTTTTTCGGTCTTTGCTGCTCCTTCCTCCCCCCTTGCGGGTCGTCGTCTTGTTGTGGCTTCTAGGAAGGGAGATCGGACTTTACCAGCAGTGATAACTTCCCTTTGACCCCAAAGAACAGTTATTAGCATCTTTCATACCATCTCAAAGACTGACCAAGGGCGTGTGGGGGGATGCTTCGTTCTAAAGCCTCTCTCAAGCTAACTGAAGGGGAACAAGGGCTGGCATGGAAATGAAAGCCTGACTTTGTGTTTTACATTTCAAGGCCTTGAACTGTTTCCTTCTGGATCTGTAGCAAAGAGTTAAAAGGATGGTTAGTGGTGGGTTTGCCATGGTGCTAAGCAGGCTGAGGTCTCTGTATACCAAGCTGCACACCTTGGCTAATACTGTTTAATGTTGGATGGTCGGGGTCATGTCAACATGTTTATTCCATCTAAATTAATACAACCCTATCCCCCTTTAGCCAGAGGGGGGGAGCCCCTGCCCACAGCCCAGGAGCTCTCAGGTTTCTTTTGAGACAGACACGGAAATCCCAGCAGTAGATCAACGTTGTTTATTAAACCAATGTGCAAACAGCAGATTTCCATATAAAACATGGCCCCAGGCATCTCTACTGACAAGAGGCTTGTCCCAGTGGTGCTGAGGGAGCTGGAGTCTGTTCTACTCGCTCAGCTAAGCCTGGATGAGCATCTCAATGGCAGGCAGCGGTGGAGCAGGCGAGGACCACCCTGCTGGAGCAGCTGTGGCCACTAGACAAGCCAACTTGACTTGTAAGCAGAGTCCACTGGCTCCTGAGTCAGTGTGAACACAGAAGCTCCTCATCTCCTGCAGTTTTCATGGGATCCTCAACTTTCGCCAGGGGCTGAAGCATTTGAGACGGTGAAACATTCACAGAACAGGGTGGTCTATTTAAAATGGGGCTTTCCTCAAAGAAAGCCAATGAGACCCTAGAAAAGCTGCCAGGCAGGGGGCTGCTGGCCCTCGGCAGCCATAGTCCTTCCATTCAAACGTACACATTAAAATCAAAGGCCGTGTTTAAAATTACACCCCAGAATGGCTGTCGCTGAGACAAGGGGTGGTGTCTCAGCCTGCACTCCAGGTCCCTGGCCAACCACCCAAGGTCTAGACTAACCTAGCAGGTGCACAGGCTAGACAGAGAGCCCCAAGGCTCAGCTGGTGTAGGATACTTGTCCGGATATGTGAACGTGGCAAAACTCCTGTCCGGGAACGGCCTTCTTCCTGCATGGCTGCCTGGCCTTGGTGATGCCCTGACACAGGAGTCTCGGAGACATCGAAGAGGTGGACCTGAAAGGATGGTGAGACAGGCTGATTAGACCTGCAGGTCTGGAGCCTTGTGGCTCAAGTCAGGCAACCACCAGGCTCTCACCAGCAGCAGGGGGTACCCCAGGGCTAAGGGGCGGTGGGGGGAAGATATCTCTGGGCAGCAGGCTGGGTTTGTTGGTAATTCCAATGGAAAGCATGTTAAGTTGCTGAAACAGCCACCCTAGGCCAAGTCAACTACAGGTGATCAATGCTTCCAACCCCTCCCTGCTCTCCTGCATCTGACTCCTCCTTGTCCTCATTTACCATCCCCCACAGCTCCTCCCCATCAGCCTTGCTCCTGGCTCTCACTTCCTCCCCTCAGTCTCCCACACTCATCCTCTGGCCCTTCAGCTCCCATGCTGACGACACCCCCCCTTACTGCACATTTCCTCGCCCTGATCTCTTCATTCCACCTGCAGCCCTGCGTCCGCTCTCCCACTTGCTCAAGGGCTGTTCACTTAAGAATGCAAGAGCCACCATAGAGCAGCCAATGGTCTGTCTAACCCTGTATCCAGGTGTCTGACTGTGGCCAATACCAGGTGCCCCAGAGGGAAGGAACAGAACTAGGCAATCATCAAGTGATCCATCCCCGGTCGTCCATTCCCAGCTTCTGGCTGTCAGAGGTTTAGGGAGAGGCTAGTTGCGTCCCTGACCATCTTGGCTAATAGCCATTAATGGACCCTATCCTCCATGAACTTATCTAGTTCTTTTTTGAACCCTGTTATACATTTGGCGTTCACAACCTCCCCAGGCAGTGAGTTCCACAGGTTGACTGTGCGTTGTGTGAAGCAATA